AGAAGGCTGACCACTGAAGAATTGATGCTTTTGAATTGTGGTACTGGAGGAGACTCTTGAGAGTCCTCTGGACTGCAAGGAGAACAAATCTATTCATCTTTCAGGAAATCAACCCTGAGTGCTCATGGAAGGACAGATCCTGAAGATGAGGCTCCAATACTTTAGCCATCTCATGAGAAGAGAAGACTCCCTGGAAAAGACCCTGATGTTGGGAAAGTGTGAGGGCAAGAGGAGAAGGGGACGACAGAGGATGAGATGGTTGGACAGTGTCATCAAAGCTGCCAACATGAATTTGACCCAACTCTGGGAGGCAGTGGAAGACAGGATGGCCTGGCGTGCTGCGGTCCACAGGGTCATGAAGAGTCAGGCACGATTAAATGACTAAACAACAATGTGCCATCAAGTTGTCTCTGACCCATAGCAACTTTATTAAGGGGTAACACCCCCTCCATGTCTCATCCTTAATAACCTTGCTTAGCTCTTGCAAATTCAAGATCATAGCTTTCTTCAGTGAGTCTATGTAAATCTTAGAACTGCAGAGCTCAATGTCTTACATTTGGTCTTCTTCCATTCCAACTGCCTTCAACTTTTTGTAACATTATTTATTGCCTTTTGCAGACTCTTCTCTTCCCTTGATGTGCTCACAGTAGTCCAGAACTGGTCTGGGACCGCTCAGGCTTGATTTGATCTAGTACCTACTTTGTCTTTCTGGAGGTACACAGTACACATACAGCTCTCCTTCAGCAACATAGTTCAAATGAATCCATTTTTTCCTGTCAGCTTTCTTTGCTGCCCAGTTTTTCCATCTGTATACACTGATTGGAAAGACAATAGTGTTGATGATCTTGGCTTTGGTTCCCAGTGAGACATCTGTACACTTGATGACTTTTCTAGTTCCTATACAGTTGTTCTTCCAAGTCTCAGTACCCTTCTCATTTCTTGGTTGCAGTCTCCACTTAAACTGACAACCGAACCAAGGTACAAAGTATCTTTAACAATTGCAATTTTCTCATTGTCAACATCAAATTTACCTGTTCCTTTCTATTCATGATTTTTCCCTTCTTAATGATCAGTTGTAGTCTCACTCTGAATTTCATCTTTCATTTTTTATCAGAAGTCGTTTCAAGTCACTGCTACTTTGAGCGACTAATACTGTGTAATTTGCATATCATAATATTGATGTTTCATCTACCAATTTGTACTCCTCCTCCATCTAAATCTAATCCAGTTTTCTGTATGATACATTCTGCATACAGACTGCAGAATATATCATATAGAAAACTGTTTTAGACTTAGATGGAGGAATGAAGACAGTTATTTAGATTATTGATTCTTAGGGTCCTTTGTCACTAAATTACTATTTTATAGTTACAGTAAGTCTATTAACTATATTATGCTTAGATATGTATAATGCATTTAAAATCTTTAAACACTAAAATCTGAACAGACGTATAATTCAAATTTTATTATATTGTCTTGGACTGTGTTATGTTGCTTTTATTACCTAGTTTACCATAGCCTGTGTGCTAAAGCAATAAACTGAATTCATTCATTTCCATACAGACTGAACAGGTAGGGAGAAAAAACAATATACCCCTTCTCTTTATTTCACCCAGGTCAGACAGTATGATCCCTTGTTGATCTTTCAGCATCCTTAATATAGGTTTTAATTTCCCTTTGATTACTTGAATCTTATGAAAGAGATATCATGTTTCTCTCTTTTGTTTGTTAGCACTGATTACTGTAATTGTTTCTATATGAGTCGCTGAAAAGGTGCATTTGCTGAAAAGATGCAGTCAGTATTCTGACCCTATTTCTCCTAACTTTTACATTTGTTTCTCACCTGCCATTAACAATTTTAAATGTTTAGATTTTTCTTTTCTTTTCATTACAGAACAGTCTTATGGCATTCTTCCCTGATAATATATTTCATTTCAATCCACAGTTCTTTTGGTTCAAGGATAATTGAGTATAGTGATGCAAATCTGTCCTTTATATGGACTTTAAATTCATCAAAAATGTTGTTTAAATTATATTATGGCACTACAATTCTTTCAGGTTTCCTTTGGAGCTTTATTCAAATTTTTGATGTTAACAATTCATGCTGACTACCACAATCTGCCCCTGGTCTTGTTTTGGAAGAGAAAATGCACCTTCTCCATCTACAAGTTCTGATTACATCGTCCATTTGATTTCGACAACCACAATCTGCCCCTGGTCTTGTTTCGGAAGAGAAAACGCACCTTCTCCATTTACAAGTTCTGATTACATTGTCCATTTGATTTTTATACTGACCATCTAGCAATGTCCATATGTATGGTTGTTTTGTCCAGTTGCCTATAGCAAATGTTTACAATAAACAGATTGTTGGCTTCACAAAATTCTACAAGTCATTCTTCTGCTATGTTTTTGACTCCTAGGCCAAATTCCATTCCAGTCACCTATATGTACTATCCTTGGCTACGTTAGTTCAGTTACACCAAGTACTGTGATCTTTAAATGTTCTATTTCTTGCTTTATGGCTTCCAATTTATTTTGATTAACATGTCTCAAGTTACATGTTCCAACTGTGTTAGACAGCATTGGACTTTCATTTTCCCTCCCTGCACAATGGCAATTCACATATTATCCTTCTTTATGGACAAAAATAAATTTTATTAATTTAAGGACTAGAAATCCAAGGGCCTAAATAGTCTCAAAGGTACATTTGCCATTCTTACACTTAAATCAGAACCACAAATTTGGGCACAAGTTGACTCAATTACATTCACTTGGATGAAAATAAACTACGTATTTTTCACTCCATAAGACACACATAATTTTTAGAGGAAAAAATCACCAAGACCACCTTTGCAAAAGCAGTGCGGGGAAAAGCAATCCCCTCACCTGCACTGCCTTTGGAAATGCAGCGGGTCTCCATCTTGGATGGCATTCTAAGACACACATAATTTTTAGAGGGGAAAAATCACCAAGACCGCCTTTGCAAAAGCAGTGAGGGGAAAAGCAATCCCCTTGCCTGCACTGCCTTTGGAAATGCAGCGGGTCTCCATCTTGGATGGCATTCTCCCTCTTTCTCTCCCCAGCAGCAAAGGAAGAGGGCAAAAGGACTCAAAAGCAGTCCCCTGGCTCCTGATTACGGTGACTCCTTTGCTGCTGGGGAGAAAAAGAGGGGAGTGCAATCTAAGATGTCACCAGGACTCGCTGCCTTTGCAGTGAGTCCTGGTGAAGGAAAAAGAGATCAAAGTGCTTCTAGAAAGACCATAGGAAAGTACAAACACAGTCCCCCACTATCACAAATTACGCAGTTAAGTTTCCCACATTAGGGGAAATCATAGGGATCAGCACACCCGAAGTGCAATGGATGACCCCCATTCTTTGGCACTGCCCTTCTTTGGGATTGGGATGTAGCTTGATCTTTTCCAATCCTCTGGCCACTACTGAATTTTCCAAAACTTGCTGGCATATTGAGTGTAGCACCTTGACAGGTCTCAAGTCAACCTTTAGGAATTGTTCATTGCAATTCAGTAGATAAGTCACAACAGGATCAGAATTTAGTGAGCAACATGTACCAAAATAACACAGCTGGGTTAATTGAGACAGCTGTGGGACAACCAAGTTGATTGGAGCAACCAAGAATAAAGCTAGCCAAGCTTGCAGACACAAGTTGTTGGGTAGTTGGGTTGTTGGTGGTTGTGTAGTTGAGAGCTGTTTATTTGGTTGATTGTGAAAGAAATTTATGCTGCATCGCTGGATGAAGATTTGCTACATTGCAAGAGGAAGGTCCTGGAAGAAGACTATCTCCGTGGTGAGAGGAGAAGACTTCGTGGATGCTGGACTATTTATATTGGTAACAATCTTT